TCACCTCTGCGCCACGCCGCTATCTAGCGTTTTTTAGGTTTGTTGCATTAACCTGCGCTTGCTTGGAAATCCTCCACCCACGAGTACTTTCTCGGGGGTTTTGGCTTTAAATGGACTCTTCTTTACCACGAGTCACTTACACAGATGGTCGTCCTTTGATGAGGGGTATTCTTGAACCTCTCAGCATCGCGTACTCCTGCGAATCGTTTATGTTAGCTTATTGGCGTGCACCCTGAGGGTGCTCAAACGTGACATGATATTCGTCGTTTATGTGCAGGTGTGGATGTCATAGCACCGTTCATTCGTGAAAGGCTCTTGAATAGTCCAACTGTGCTGACGAACGGCCGATCAGCTTTCTCGTCCTCGCTCGCTGAGTATGTGATGGCTATGGCGCTACACTTCAACAAGCAAGTTGTGCGATGCCAAGGTGCGGCGCCGAATATGCACCACTCAGAACTTCTTGCGGCCCGCTAATCCGCGAAACTATGCTTCACAGTCCGCGTGCTCACCTTAGTTTTACCTGATGCCTAGCACTTCATCCTGGTTCCAGCTTTTATAACGCTGCTAAGCCATTGTTTAAACGTATCACTTACAGTCGAATATATTCGTTGTGTTCCCATCTTTCAGAGAATAAAGCTCAGCACAAGTGGGAGAAGTACGTGATGCCTGTTCTGAAGGTGAGTTCGCCCATTGCATGTCAGAGAATGATGGGGATAAGGGCACATTCCAGGCTTCCAACCAGATCGGGAGCCCCAATCCATCATGGACAGGTCCGGCATACCAAGATATGTGTTCAAAGGAAGTAAGTCTGAATGCACTTAGCGGTTTGAACTGGAAATATTTCATCCAGGAATAGTGTAGATCCGTCGACTTTTTCCGAGCAAGAATATCTTGCTCTGCCAAGGTTTCCACATATTGCACCATAGCCCAGCGGCCGCAGCCTTGCCAGTTTCAGAATTGATGGCAACGCGTATACATCTATGGTTTGGAACTTCAGGGCAAAACCATGTGCTTCGTGGGCTTCGGGAGCATTGCGCAAGCCACTGCCAAGATCGCGAAGGACGGCTTCGGGATGAAGGTCCTGGCGGTGCGACGGAACGTGACCAAGGACGATACCGGACTCGCTGCGGAGATCTTCAGCAACGAGGAACGCCTGGCGGCAATCGAAAAGTCTGACTTTGTGGTGTGCTCCTTGCCAGGTATGTTGCCGTGCTTGCGAACCCGTAGCAAGTCGATCGCCACAAATCGCACCCTTCCGAGTCAAATTTCGAATTTGAGACGTCTGTGTTGGGCTCTAGCGCCGCAGCGTCTTGACTTCACAAATTCATGAATAGTCAGTCCAAAGTGTCAGAGCATACGAGCCAGTCCAAAGTGTCACACCATACGAGCCAGTCCGAAGTGTCATGCCATACGAGCCAGTCCGAAGTGTCATACCATACGAGATAGCGTGATAGGCTTTGACAAGTGCGCATAGAGGGGTATCCGGCAAGCCATTAAGGACACGCATGGGCACTTGGAAGTGAAATCAATAGCAAAAGTGGACTCAGAAACAAGTCCAAATTAAGAATTTAGTCGGCGGAAGCAACAAAAAACGAAGCAGCGATATTGTATTGCTTATAACTCGCTCTTTCCTTACAGTTTGCCCGTGCACCACTTTCACTTCGGATCCTGCAACTGTGTGCCCTCAGCCAACTTGTGTTTGAACTTTCGTTCTTACTTCCTTCTAGTTGGGGATGGAACTTGTAATATTGTCCATAGGTGATGTTCATGGTCATTAGAAAGTGCACCTGGTTTGAGGAAATTCTGAAAGAAGTTTTGGTGACATGAGCCTTACAGGAACTTCTGAAACCCTAAATTTTATGGGAGTGGAAGAGTTTTCTGCCATGAGTCGTGATGCGTATTTCATCAGCGTCGGGCGAGGAGCAGCAGTGGACGAGGAGGCTTTGGTGGAGGCTTTGAACTCGGACAAAATTGCTGGGGCAGCACTTGATGTATACAAGAAAGAGCCTTTGCCGACTGATCATGCACTGTGGGACACAAAGAACCTCGTTATGACATCACACAATGCAGACTACACCGAGGACTACTTCGACCTTGGCTGGGATGTGTGGCGTAAAAATTTTGAAGCTTTTTCAAATAAGACTGAGTGGTTTACACCAGTTGACAAAAGTTCTGGATATTAGAACCCTATAGTTTTCTCCATTCTAGTTACTAAAGATATTTGCGAAATGCAAAGAAGAACGGCAAAGAATAAAATCAAAGCAGTAGATAGAGCACTCTAGAGTTTTGGAGATTCAAACACAATAAACGGGAATTTTTCCTTTGCACGTCTCTACAAATGGTTTGGCAAATTAGCATGTGTCAAGTATAAGCCAACTGGCGGTTTGACTGCACAAGTGATGCATCATATGGGGTCGGTCTATGCATCTGAATGTGAGTTAAAGTCGACCGGTCACATTCGTGGATATGATATATCTATCTATATACACATCAAGGTCTTTTTTTTCGGGAGGTCCGTTTGCATAAAAGTTCCAAAAATATTTTTATTTAAAAAATGGATTTCCTAAAGCATTATAAACCGCCTATCGCGCACTTCACGGATCGAATTACTGACCGTGCGTATGGAAAAGTTATGGTCAACACCATTCATTTCCCGCCCATACTTAAGCGCGAACTTAAAACGCCTGTATCTCGGCGATCTATGAAGTTTGAAATGGCCCTCGCGTAAACAATAAAACCTTGCGGATATATACAACGCGTAGGAATACCCCTGAGATGACGCCGTCGCCGAGGTGCCAGGCCTCAGTATCCTCGAGTAAATTGTGGCAGATATATCAGTCAGAACGAATATACTGAATTTCTCAGAATCTGTTAGCTTAAGATCAGTTGCCCGTTAAGTGCCAATAGGGTGTAGGGTTCGTGACCGATGACGGTCATACACACTATTGTAGGAAGTGACAGGTGACAACTTTGTGTGTCACATTGCTATACTTCCAGCACACCACCTAGTGTGGTGACCGGCCAATCGGAACTGAACCAATGAACAAACACCCACTCGGCTTCGGTGGAAATGGAATGCTCAGGGGAACGGGCCTGTCCATAAGTGGCAGGGCGGTTCCCGAAACACAGACAGCACAACAGCCGTGGCCACTGCCTTCTACTGCACAGTTCTGATACATTGCTAAAACCCTAAGCTAGCCCATCTTGGGGCACCTCTGCACATACCGCAAACACGAATCTACTGTGCAGGGCCGGCATGATTAACTTTATAGCCACTAGGAGGTTGCGGCACAGCAGTGCCAGCACGCAGAAGTGTCACGGCGCTGCAAAGCACAAGCTGCGGTGTCCGCACTTTCTGAACTTGGTCGTGAAGCGGGATTGTTACTATTAAGGCCTGAAGCGTTCCAGAAATCTTCCCCTAGCTTCGGGAACGTGCACTCACAATCGATTTCGTCAGCCGAAAGTAAGAGGCTTCAGCAGAAGTTTCAAAAGTAAGTGTGAGTATTTGGAGCAACGATGTGCGATTTTATGGACTTGTAGGTCTACATCTCTACAATACAGCTTTCAGTTTTTCAGAAGGAAACCTGTGCGTCCTTATCTTTTGTTCACTAAACAGCTACGTCAATAATATCCACGACTCAAGTGTCCTAGCACTCAAGTCTGAAGGGTTTATGACCACTATACTTCGAGTTCTCAACTCTCATTTCCGTGTAGATACAACACACAATCTCAACTCGCTCTCAAATGGATGGGAACAAACTTGCAACGTGCGACACCCTGTCGTTATGAGGCAGACAACTTAAATTGTTTCACGGGAGTTCCGTATCGGGTATGCAAATTCATACCTAAGAAGAGCTCTCGACAGTGGACACACGTGTAATGTGTATGAAAGTCAAACGAAACTATGAAAGTGATGAAAACTATAAGAATTGCGCATTTCAATTTCGAATTTGGTGCCGCTGTGTCACTCTTGGGGTCTCGCAAGCCAGAGGTTACGCTGCCTTGGAATTGGATGGAAAGCAGCTCGTATAAACCTCTGAACTACCACATAATGTTTTTTGGGGATTAAATCGGAGAAAATCGCCGCGTCCGGAGGCTCTGACTTGTGAGAGCACGTATTTATGGATTTCGAGACTGTCAGGGTCATGACCGATGATATATGTGTCATACATGGCATACGTGTCATACCTGTCAGACTGTGCTAGGACAACACACGGTGTCATGCGCGGATGACTCAGCAATGTCATACATGCCAGAAGTGTCATACGTGCCTTACAGCATTAGCGCCCGAGACCCCTGTTGAGGAAGAGACCCCCCTTTATATGGGAGTACACAGTACCACTGTACTGTGTAATAATGTGACATGTAGAATACTGGCACATCATACTGCATGATAATGTAGTACAAGCATATGATAGGTTGATGAGACTTGGCCATGCTGACTAGGATAACCTCAGAGAGCTGAGTGAATAAGTAATGGCCAAGGCCAAAGAAACAGTTGAGATTTCTAGAGTAAAACAGCCGCATGGCAAAAGTCAAATAATACCTAATTCTTACCTGCAAGTATATGTAGTAAGTCAGGACATAGATCCTAAGAGTGACATAGCTCACTATGACCTTATAAAGCATAATATAGAACCTTGCTTTATATGAGTCCCATCACAAGTAGTTACAGTGTCTGTTAAGTGAGGAGGGTTACAGCTGCCTCCCACAAAATGGTATCAGAACTGGAAAACGCCGAGAGAGGGTTTGAACCCCCGACCTCTCGATTGCTAGCTGAGCGCTCTAACCACTGAGCTATCCCGGCAATTGGATGTCAATTCATCCAACGTATAAGCTCTTGTAAGAGCACTCAGATGTCCCTCCCCCCCCCTTACCTAGGGGCAGCCTCGGCCAGTGACGTGGGCGAAGCTGACTGCGCGGCAGAGCACCGCCAGAACCCAGGACTGATCAGGTCCCGGGCAAGGAAGAGACACCTCAACGGTATCAGAACTGGAAAACGCCGAGAGAGGGTTTGAACCCCCGACCTCTCGATTGCTAGCTGAGCGCTCTAACCACGCTGAGCTATCCCGGCAATTGGATGTCAATTCATCCAACGTATAAGCTCTTGTAAGAGCACTCAGATGTCTCTCCCCCCCCCTTACCTAGGGGCAGCCTCGGCCAGTGACGTGGGCGAAGCTGACTGCGCGGCAGAGCACCGCCAGAACCCAGGACTGATCAGGTCCCGGGCAAGGAAGAGAAAGAAGCCTTCCAACGATTGAAGTTAGCATTGATTTCAGCACCAATCCTCGCCCTACCGGACCAGCGCTCAGCAGCCGATGGGTCTCGCCCACATGGTATCAGTGTGCTGCGCACCACCACCACCACCGCTTCCACAAAAATTTACTGCTTTGAGATTGTGAATTTTCCGCCGAGTTCACGTGTGCCTCAGTTTTTCGGATGGAATTTAGGCTCTCGAGTTACTGACGCGTTACATAACTTTGAGTCAGCGCTGGCCAGTGACGTCGTTTGCGGCTTCCTTCGGCGAGATGGCTTGTGACGCTGTCGAGGATTCTTCTTCAATTTACTTGTAAGGACGTATTCTTTCTTCGCGAGTTACTTCATGACGGTTTCTTCGTGCGACTGCGCGTGCCTTGCGGTCTTGGCTGTTGTGAGTGCCTGGTGCGCACGCAGTTCTTCACTCGAATGTTCGCAATGGCGTTTGTTCCTCAGCAACAAAGATTCTTAAAATTGTTAGATGCAGCGTATACCTTCTTCGCGCGGTGTTCTGTGATGGTAAATTTCGGCTCGCCATAGAAGAGGTCCAATGTGGCAGAGTGTGCCACAAATAAAGTAGCCCAGAGCTATCTTTCGTCTGGCGTTCGCTCTGCGCCTGGGACTCGCAAATTACCTTTACAAATTATGGCAATTTTTGCGGGTGCTGCTTAAATTCGGGTTTGAGGATGGACGAAATTCCGCTTCTGGCTGCTGGCCCTTGTGTTCGCACTCTGACGCGCTGACGACTCGGCGCTTTTCTTACTCGCTGGCAGTTTTGTGCCGTTAATTCCTCTCGGTAATTGTGCCGATTGGTCGGCGTTTTCCGCAAGATCTTCGTCTGCTCTGTGCTCTCTACTCTGCGATTGGAATGTGTGCGCGACGTTCTTCTTTGGCTCGAGATTGGCGTGATGCGACTTCGAGTTAGCGCTATTCCGCTGGCGTGCGTGTTCTTCGTCGAGTGTCTTTGCGACTGAGTGGGATTACGCGAATTTATGCTTTGGAATTCGAAAATGTTCTCTGAATTGGCAGATGCGGCTTGCGTTCTTTGCCCTTAAGCTCTGCAGCGCTCTGGCGTTCTTCACAATGGCAAACCCTGAGTAGTATCCCGCTGCAGCGTTGCTTTGACTTCCGTGGGCCGATCGTTGGCCAATTTTGCTCAATTTGTTTTCGTCTTACCTCTTCGAGTTCGCTGGAAGACTTTGGTTGGGATTTAGTAGCGGCAGTTGTTTATTTGCTGTTGGGCTTCTGCGTCTTCGCTCTTCACACTATACGCCTGAACGGCGGGAGCGCTGGCAGATTTTTCAGAATCGGATTGCCGCGTTTCTCCACCAACTTTGGCAGCTGTTTGCATGTCTTCTTCTCGGTCGCAGCGTGAGTTGCCGCCTTGGCGGAGTGGCGGCCCTGGTGCTGCGGGGGCTTCCACGGGGCCTTCCAGGCTCTCGGGCTCGGCTCGGCCGTTTGAGCCTGGGGTGCGGGATGAGCTTGCGGCTTTGGAGCCCACTCCTTTCTTTGTTCCGCGTGCTGGGAACGGGCCTGCCGGGGCGCGGCGAGGCAGCGGGGGGGGAGGAGGAGTGCAACGCTCTCTTGAAGAGCAGTACGCGCGTTTCTCAAGCGCGCCAGTGCCTCGAGGAGAACGCGACTCACAAGCGTCGCTGCCCGCCACACCCATGGGCTTTACCAACGAGCCGCGGGACACACCTGGCCAGGTGTCCGCTACCGTCCGCATGTTTGAGCGGTACTCTACACCGCAACAACGCGCTCTTCTGGCTCGCGCTACTCCACGACGTGGCCAACCAGCTTTCGAGGAAACCAACACGGTCGCTATAGCCACCCCATATTCCTTGGAATCACCTCCTCGAAATGAAGCTGTAGTTGATCAAACACTTGTAGTAGAGCACCGTGCTGCAGAGTTACCCACTGGTAGTGACATGTCGGCGCACAAGCGCGAAGGCGTGCCTCTGGGTAGCGAACGACGCCTGTCTGGCACAAGCGTCAAACTTGCTCGCCAAGCAGTGGCAGTGGACATCTTGGCTCAATACGTCCTACGTAGTTGGTGGAGCACTTGGAAGGCGCGCGTATATAGTGGTAGCGCTCTTCCAGTCTTCAAGGCATGGCGCCTACGAGCCCGCCTCGTGCGGACTGCCACTTTCTTTGCAGCATGGCATGAGCAAGTCCAACACGAACGTCAGGAGAACATTATGCGAGCAAACTCGCATTTGTCATTTCTACTCTTGGGCGCCTGGCGAGAGGAAACACGTCGTGTAAAAGAGATCAAACTCGAGATCACGAAGTGCAACGACGCTCTATCCAGGTTCTACGCGGAAAAGTGTGTGAAGGCGTGGAGAGCTATCGTGGATTTCGCGTCCAAGTGCACACGTTTTGCGGTACAACGCAAACAGCACGTGAAGCGCAAAGCCCTTCACGAGTGGGCAGCACTGACGGACGTCCCTGACGTGACTCCAAACCAATGGGCGACTTTACGTAAACATTTGCGCCGCCTGAGTGGCGAGGAGAACGCGATTGCAGCGATCACATGGGAGGCTCACCTCAAGACGAAAGGTGGAGAGCAGCGTGTGATCCCATCGCGTGGGCTGCTCTTATCCCACGTCGCCTCAGCGGGCCATCATCATCATCATCCTCACTCGAGCTGTGGTCACAATCATCCCAGCCAACCGACCTGCAAGGCTTGTGAAGTTGGGAGTGGACGTTGAGGACGTGATTAGAACATTGAGGCGTACAACCACTTTGGAGATCCACGTCCCACAGCAGGGAGTACGAACCGTGCCGGACCGCAACCCCTACGAGGTTTTATCGTCCGAAGATGACCCCACGACGGATGCTGAGGATGATGGACCTATCTATGCGCCACCGCCGTCCCGCTCAAAAGCCCCAGCAGCCCCACGACCTACCCAACGAGAACGTGGAGTCCGCATGCAGGCTTTAATGGAAGTAGCCCACCAGAAGGAGATGGCGAAGCAAGAGCGGAAGCAACGGAAAGTGACCAAGCGCAAGCTCGCTAAAGCTCGACGCCGCAGTGGCGGCGACCATAGCACGTCGTCTGAAGCTTCATACAACTCCAATGAGATGGGAACCACATCATCATCGTCGTGTACCATCCACTCCGAGTCACTCTCCTCCGACACCTCGCATGCCTCTTCGTCTAGAAGCTCTCGTAGTAAAGGAGGGCGCCAACGTCGACGCCAAGCTCAAGCAAACCGACATGAGCAGCAACTACGAAAGTTGCGGGAGGAGTCCGAGAAAGTTGTGATGGAAGCTGCAGCCGCTCACCAGCTTCAACTCGCTGCCCTTCAAACGACCATGCAGAAGGCTGCGGAGGAATCTGCTCGCGTACAGAAGGAGCTCTTGATGGAAGTGCAGCACGAAGCTCAACAAGCTGCACTTGAGGCCGCGGGCGAGCAAGTAGCACGTCATGACCAACAGCTTCAAGAGCTTCAGCGAGTCGCAGAAGAGCAGCGCCAACAACTTGACCAGGCTGCTCAAGATCAGCGATTACTTGAGCAACAGGTGGTGGAGAGCCGCTCAGTGGTGGAGGCCGCGTTCAAATCTGCTGATGACCGCGTGAGCTTAGAGGAGCACGCTCAGCCGCTCACCACCCCTGTGAGTTGCGCGACTGTGACGAGCGACGCTCCCAAAGCAAAAGGAGAAGCCTTGGTGGTGCCCTCGTCAGCCACGACTGTTGACGTACGTGATCAACACAAAGGGGTGACGTTCGACCCTATCGTGCATGCATCCTCCCCTACGACAAGTGTACGAGACCGGCTTGCCAAGCTAGACTGGAGGTCCATCAGTGCACCTGCCGTCGTGGCTATTCGTGCACACGTGGAAAAGCACTTGGCGGGCCACGCGGACAAGCTGGAGGCAGAGCGCATGTTCTTTGCCGTCGCAAGAAAGTACCGGGAGCACGATCTAGCGTCAGGGTGCGGACCACCAGTCTCTGAGGCGCCTGCCTCTGAACTCCCTTCGCCACCTCACATGGGCAAGGCCGTGATTCTCAACGTGCACAACGAGGTCGCGTCCAGCACCACCAACATTCCGTGCTCGAGATGCACCCGTACCCCGCAACCTCCTGTAGCTATATGGAGCTGCGAGGTGACGACCCTTCCAACCTTGTCAGAAAGCACCCAACTCGTGCCGTTGTGTATATACTGCACACGGGGAGTTTGGCCTGGTGCGTTCGACCGGTTTCCATCGGTGAACCCGAAACCGCCTCCAGTGCGTAGCGGCGGAGGCGGCGATGACGGAGATGGTGGTGGTGATGATGACGGTGACGACCCGGGAGGACCCGGTGGCCATCAAGGGGGGGGGAATGAGCCGCCTGACGACCCCACTTCTGACGCACCTAGCGAACCCTCGCGGAATCCTGAAGGTGGACGTCGCGGCCATGGCGGGGGCGGAGGCGGTGACGACCCGCCCGACGATGAGACGTCCTACAGCTTCGGTTCGAGTAGGAGGTCCTCGTACAATGATGGCAGGCAGCAAAGGGAGGAGTACACCAGGCACTCATATGCCCTCAAGGCCGCGAAGGACATCATGTCCTTGTACTCAGCACCGTTGGAGGGGTCCACAAACCCCTTCGGCCCGCTGTTACGATTCGTGGACGAGTTCGACAGGTGCTTAACCCTTCCGGTGGTGCTCCTCGCGATGAACACCCCATGCAACGTGCCCAACGGAGCGGTCCAGCTCGGAGAGCCGATTCTCTCGGTGCATATCTTGTTGAAGGAGATCACCCAGCATTGCTTCCCTACGCCTAGCTCTGAAGGAACGGAGCTGCGAGGGGTTCTCCTGGATACCGAGGCG